CTTTACCTTGAATTGTCAGACAAAACGATGACCTGTCCAATGATCATACTTGTGGATACACTAGTAACAGACGACAATGTGGTGGGAAGTGGCCAAAGAAACATCAAATGGAATCAACAGCAAAATAAAACGCCAGAATTTAGGATTCAAGACGATTCATTAATTACCCAAAGCACTTTGCCTCAAAATTTCATTTGTTCAGGAAGTCTAATTTACAATGGTATTCTAAAATGCAACGAAGCAGCAAGTTGTGAACTGAAATAAATTACGTGCATAAATCTTCCGGCTTCACAAGGTCAACTAAAGGGAATTCAAGATTTCTTTGCCCACTAGTTACAAAAAAAAGGCGGCAATTGAATCCACGCGGGTGAATAATGAGAGACGCACACAGGTCTCCAACACAAAAGCAGTATCGTGCACCTTATCGGGAACTTGCCTGTATCTCATTTAACATGCTCACATTTCCAGAACAAAAAAAATTGTGCATTCAATTTATTATTATTATTTTGTTCAAAACATGAATTCACAGAACAAACACCAGGCAGCACAGATCTCTCTTCCAGATATGAAAGCACTATTATGTGGCACAGAAATGTTTTTGTAGTTACTCCTAAAATAATTCTCAGAGCAAAAAAAAACTTCTTTTAAAAAAATTCAGAGTTTACATAAACTGGGTGTTTAATAAGTCTTTCCATTTAATTCTTCAAAGCTCATCATTGTGAATGGATATCAAATGATTTTGTTTCAGTTTTTTAGGGCAGCTTTTGCCATATAAATCTAGAAATGCCATGTTTTTACACCGGACCGCTCAGTAAAATCCAACAGCTAATCTGTATTTGATTCTTTTCATGACAATTACTTACGATTCTTTTCCTCTTTGTTAGTCGTTTTGTTAAATTTTTTCACGGATTCCACTTACAAAAAGTTCTATCGACATCTAATTGCAATAATACTACTACTAATAATAATACTTGTGTTTGATACAGTGCCTTATCACGTCATAGAATGTACAAAGTGCAGAGGTGAAAGAAAGGTGAAGCAATATTTCTTAACGACCCAAAGAAAGGCCAGTTCATTCATTCAACTTAATCTCGGTGCAAATGTAATCATTGTTAAGCTGTGTGCACATTAATTTATAACCCATTTTCCATTTGCGATGTTCAATAAATGTTTGACATAGTTTTCTATAATTTTCTGACATGAGTTCAACATTGAAATGTCAACTTGGGATCAGTTCTGGGTATGATGCAGCTCCAACATATTGCTCATATGAAACGCTAGTGAAATAATGTTCTTCCCAGCAGATCCTTTATAAACTATGCATGATAGATTTATACATTGGCACAAATTCAAATGTAACTGGGTTTACCATGCAAACAATTTACAACTATGTTGGAAAAACCTGCTCCACGGTCAAAATATTGGATAGCTGTCAGGCAAGGTACTGTAAATTTCTAATTTAAGATAATTTTTAATTTAAAAAAACTGAATTGTCTCGATACATAGAAACTGTAAAGTAGTTTCGATGGAAACTGTAAATGATTGCAATCATGTTGGGACAGTTTCAAAGAGTTTTCTATTTGAATTGATCTAGGGTTTACAGTTAGTAGTTTCGGTCTTTTTTAAGACACGATAAGTTTTTTTTGTGAATTCCTCCACTGGAAGGTTAGAATTTCAGTCAATTGATTGATTGATTGATTCAGTTTGATTGCCAAGTTAATCCTTCATGACTCCAGATTTATTGTGTATCCAATCTGCTCAGCGCTTAGAAAGGGGCTGTTTTAATTAGGTGCTGGTTTTATGCACGCAGCAATGATCTATACACCAGCATGACTATTACTAAAATACCCCTTGAAACCTCTTAGCAGAACAAATGAATCCTTATCAATATAAGTCAATTAATTAAATATTGGTATTAACCATAAAGATATTCCTGATGCCTAAAAATGTTGCCGGGGGAATATTACATCATTCCACTGGCTGACAGGTTTAAAGTTTTACTCAAAAGCCAACTATCGAGGTAGAATTGGTTCTTTATGTGTCCTTCAATGCAATTTGACTCCAAATGCAAAAAAGCCCTCGTATTCATTTTCACAAACATTGAGTCGGTCTAATATTTGATTCCCTCGAAACTTGTTTGTGTGAGAAAAAGTACATGTGCCACAATTCAATCTGCGGGAAAAATGTTTGTGTGAAGCACCTTTGGGGAGAAGGTTGAGTATTTTTGTTTGCCATAATAACCAATTAATAAACTGAAAATAACTGAGTGGTGAAATTAACTAAACCGGGTGTTTAGGCAGCAAACATACCTGTGATTACACTACCTTAGCATACATTAAAACAAGCCTAGAAGAACAACTCTTCAAAGCAATAATGGAATCAGCAGATGCGAGGAAGATCAGATCATGTGAAGGTCTTTCTCTGCAATCTATTATAACTGGTGAAGTACAATAGGGCCAAAACGCCTGTCTGTTACACATGGGCAGCAAGATCCATTATTCGCTTCTGAAAAGCACCAGATAAACATTGTCGCACAATTGCAAAGAGAGGAAGCTTGCAAAATATAAAGGGGAATGGAGCAGAAGAGCGTTGACAATTTCGGGAGGGTAATGGTACTGTCTGGAGGGAGAGTGAATAGGAAAGGTAGACTAAAGATGGCCGGTCCCGGTCTCGTCAATGAGAAATAATATTTCTGTACATAAATTGGTGCAACCTCAGCCTGTGGCATTACCCTGAGGAAGGATGATGGTGACCACATGCAGTGTCATGGTCAAAGGCGCAGTCAAGGAAATCCTCTAACAGGTCTGACACACTTCACAAGATCGGTTCGGATGAAGAAGGCTCTTCGGTCCTTTTGACCTCACCTTTTCATAAAAAAACCTGTTGTTGGTGCCTGTGTAAAGGCCTGAGTTGCCTCCAAGAGGGTTCTGGTGCTCGACTCCTGAAAGTAGTTAATCATGAGTCAGTGAAGCATCAGCAAGTTCAGACACTCACACTGGGATCATGGTAGAATCCTTGCAAACAGTAGAACAACATCCATTATCTTCATAATCAATACAACAAATGCAACTTTTTTTTTTCAAATTCATCCCTCTGGTTACAAACATTTCACTGTTAAAATATGATATTATCCACAGTCAAGGTTTGATCCATCAATTTAGCTGAAACATATACCAGAGCTGTGCCCTCATGTGAAGTAAAATCCATCTCTTGAAAGTTGATTGAAAGCTTGCGGACGGCTGGTGGCTTACTGTCTGATGGAGCCACGCTACAGAGAAGGGCGTTGTAACAACAGCAACTTGCGTTTACTTAGCGCCCTTCATGCCGGAGCATTTAACAGTGGCGGAGCCCGATGCTGAGCTGTGGGGAAGGGGTAGGTGACTGTAGACACATCCTAACAAGAAGGTCTTCTACAGAGTCACAGAATAACTCTGTACAGCTCTAATGTGACAACATCAAGAAACATGATGAGCAGATTATGGGTTTGAGGGTGTTCACCGGGTGATAGACAGGTCAGTTGAGAAGGGTTGAGCTGTCCTCAATTCTTATGGTTTCAATATACTGTCTGGGAAATGGGAACAATAATAATCCTGGCATTTGATACAGCGCCTTATCACGTCTTCGAGACGTCTCAAAGCGCTTCACAGCATAAACTGTAAAATGAATTGACTGCGTATTTTGTGGGCGAAACGCAGTGAAATAAGGAAAGACCACAGCAATACAAATTTTAAAATTATTGACTAAAATTATCCTTTATCTGATTAAATAAACTGGAACCACATCCTCAGATACCGCAGGACTTGCTGTGCCTGGCTCTTCACAATCAGCAGGACACTATCCAATATTTTATAGTGAGCTAGACATTAGCCATTTCATTATGTTTCCTTATACTGTTGGCTACAGTAATTAACTTTTTTTTTGGTGGGGAAATAGTTTTAACACAGTATGAAATGTTTATAAGAATAAATACATATTAGCAATATGATTGAGCTAAACGCTCTCCATGTGTTCCTTTTAAGTGTGGTGACGATTTAATAGGCAAATGAATCAGCTAATCTCTACCAGCGCATTCTCACGAAAAGAAATGGGATGAATGACCAATAACTGTGTAATTAGGTGCCTTTTGATATTGGCCAATACATTAGGAGGATTCCTTGCTCCTCTATGAGATATGACCATGTAACCTTTAATGTCTATCTAAATCACCAGCTCCCTAAAGAATAGAAACATCCAACAACACACTCTCAGTTCCACACTGCACAGGAGTTTGCCTGTATTATGTGTTTCAATCCTATTCTGGGGCTTGAACTCATAGCCTTCTGACTAAACATAGATTTACACTGTCAGCACGAAACATGCCTTTCTGCCCTACTTGTTATTCTTCACACGAGTCTCCACCCATTCCTTATTCCCTGCCATACTCTTCTATTCCGTTCTCCCGCATGAGTATATCTAGCTTCCTCTTAAACACATGTATATTATTTAATCCATCCTCTGTCCAAATCTGGGATCAAACAAAAATATGATAGAGAAAGGGCTGCTACCTGTGACCAACACAAAATGATGCTCTCGATCAAGGTGCTTGACAAAAGTGGGTTCACTTTTGACCAGTTAATAATTATTGTGAATTTAAATCATTTAAAGAATGATGTAAAGTGAAGAATCACATGGTTGCTTGTGATCAGTACAAACATGATGTGCGTGGGACTGTGTTTGATCCAAAAACATTGGGGAAAATAACTACAGATGAGCAGAGCGGCAAATCAACTTTAAGACCAAAATCTCATTCGTGGCTTCTTAAGAATCCCCTTCAAACACACGGAGATGCCGCAAGCAGATATATGGAAAGAGAAACAATTAGACCAGAGAAAGCAAATCTTGGAGTTTTATGTATCTGAAAGCTGATGGTTTTGCATTAGCAAAGTGGGAGGGTGGCTGAAAGTTAAGTGCGATTTGACAGCGAGAGGGAACCACGGTTGTATTACAAAGTGTTGGCTTACCACAATTAGCGCTGGACCCAGAAGGACAATGGTTTTGGTCTTTTCAAGCTGCTTGTCGTACACCAGGATCCATCTGAGCTCCTGGAAAAAGTGGAGGTTAAAAATTAAACGGTCATTAAAAAAACGAATGCTTGAATATTCATAATGCAAGTGGGCCACATGGGATCTCCCGAAAAATACTTAAGGAAATGAGGATAGACATAGGGAAAACTGAAACAATCCTCTGATGATTAACTACAGGCGAGAGCGAGAATGCTCAGAACATTGCTGATGCTGCGATTTTATTAAAATAAAGGTCAGACTCATGACCCCGGGAAATGTAGGCCTATTATCCTAACAACTATCGCAGGAAAAACAATGGAGCCTACAATAAAGGAAGTAATTGAAGTATGTCTAACAAGACCCTGGCTTATTCTGTTTTGTGAAATGCAAATCAGGCCTGACAAATTAACAGCACTTTGCTCTCCAGAATCACTTCCTACAAGGGAAACAATCAGATTCAAAGCGTTACAATTTGCTGCTTGAAGCAGGACAGGACTTCCTGGTTTCCTCTATCCCTTCCACAACTGCAAGCCTGGCGATGGTAATCAAAGTCCTTCATTTTCACTCTGCTAACTAACCCTGCTATGCACTCCGCAGGCTCCCTCTGACTGTTTTCCACAGGTCTTTCACCACCAAATAACCATTAAACAAAATAAGGACAAACCAGCAATTCCTCTGGACAGTTACACAACTCTTCTCACTCCCAACCCACTCTCACCAAAGCCAATTTAGAGCTGGCTTTTATAAAAGAGCAACGCAATGGTTGTACTTATTTCTTATTGGGGAAATATTAACTTATTTCTAATATATTAAAAAAATCAGTCAATTTGCTCCGATGGCTGATGGGCAATCTGTGCCGACAACAGTCTCAAAGGCTGAATTTGACTAAAACGGACCCTTCACGAAGCATTACAATATCAAACCCTCATTCTACTATAAAAATAATAATAATCTTCGCATTTGACGTAGCTCTTTATCACATCTTCCAGACTTCTCAAAGTGCTTCATAGAATATACTGTGAAAAGTGAAAGTGAAGTGACTGTATATTTTGTCAGCGAAATGCAGCAGCCAATTGCGCACAGCAGCGTCCCACAAACAGTCGTTAATTGAGTGACCAAATTTTTTTTTTTTTTAAACGGATTATTACCCCTGGAAAAGCCAATCGACTAACAACCGGGTTCATACTTACTACTGGGTAAACAGAGCGTGGAGTAAGGAAACTTGCCCAACGGTTCAGTCCTAATGTTTGAATACTAGAATCTATATTGGCTCAATATAAATTCTATATATAGAATCGGTAAGAATAAGTGTAAATGAAAATACATCCGAATACATGACGCCCTACAAACACAGCAGTTGCACACAGAGTGTCAGTGAAAGTAATGTATTTCAAGGGAAATCAAGACTGTTCATCCAAATGAAGAACATCCACCAGTACAAGCAGGGCAAGCAACTGCCCTTTTTCATTGCAATTTTAAAACATTTTTGCTCTTCAGTCTTATTACGTACACACACACGTCTAGAGATAAGAATGAAAAGTACTTGAACTTTTAAACTCTTGAAGCATTTTCCAAGAGTTGGAAACTGACCCCCTTAATGTTGTTCCAAATAGAAACACGGGAGTGTAATTGTCGTTCGAGATTTATATTTTAACACGAGTCTTCAGGTCTTCAATGAACCCTCCAGCATAGAGCAGTTCTGCCACACTCCCATTGTAATTATCACAGTCGGCAGGAATAGGACTTGTAAAATTAACTGCGGCACTTGTGAGTTGCACTCCGCATTATTGATTTAGGAAATCATGTCATAACAGTAATGGAGATAATACAGTTATCATGACAATCTGATAAACAAAACACTTCAATTTACATTCAAGTGTTTGGTGCCCCACAAGAGGATCCCATGGCATTATTTTTCTAATCAAAGCTGTTTCAAAACATCTGGTCAAGGGTAACATCTGAGCTTTTTAAAGGGGTCACCCTCTCCTCAAATTCCCCTTAATAGAGTTAAATTATAAATGCAAAAGCCACAAAGGACCACAAAAGAAATTAAACACAAACAGATACAAAGCTGAAGATTGACATCTTATCGAGGGGACGCGACTTCCAACGTGAATCCCAAATGATATTGGGACATCTTCCCAACAATAAAGGCCCTTCACAAATGTAATTTGTTGTTGTTGATATTGGCATTCCCACATTGGATGGGCCACTTGGTGCAGGGCAGAGAAACGTGAATGATACATTTGACCTACATTTAATAAGATTAATAATAATTATAATAATAATCCTTGCATTTGATACAGTGCCTTATCATGTCTTCGAAACGTCTCAAAGCGCTTCACAGAATATACTGTATTGTATTTTGTGGGCAAAATGGGGCAGCCAATTGCGTATAGCAGTGTCCCACAAACAGTCATGGATCGAGTGAGCACTCTTTTTTTGAAGGGATTATTACCCCCAGGAAAAAGTACCGCCAATCGACTAACAATCGGGTTCCTACTAACTGCTAGGTAAACAGAGGCGTGTGAAGTAAGGAAACTTGCCTTGGATTTCGCCCTTAAGACATTTGCTGGTGAATCAGAAGAGTGAGTTGCACTAACCTGTTTGTGCAGATAATTTCAGCAATAAATATAGGAAAAATTCAGAGAGAACCATGTAGGGGAAGGAGCTACAACAAGCACTAAAACAACATATAAAATAACCCAGATAAAATATCCAGTTTAAGGTTTAAGAGCAAACACCATTCAAAATCTGACCTACCGAAGCAAACAAAACCAAGCTGGTTCCGAAATAGATTGGTGCAATTATAACCGGTTAATCTGCTCAAGTCAAATTCAATCTTTTGTTTACACCAACCTTTATTATACCTGACAGAACCTTCTGCGAATGTTATGCCACACCTCGTGTTTTTTACAGCTCCTTTTATGTTCCAGTTTTATGTAACCAGTCTGATTGGATTTGCTTGACTAGCGCTGAATTCCACACTTGGAGTCTGCAGTTGTTTTTCTGGCGTTAATTTTCAAAGATATTAATTCTCAAAGTTCAATACCTGTATTAACCTGCAATCAAAGCGACTGCTTTCCAGGGGAGAGAAACAGGTCCTCTCAATGCATCGCTAAGAATACGCCTTGATCTTCCCATTTGATAAGTCAACCTACATCAGATCACATTTACAAGGCAACGAAGGTGGAACAATTCAGTTTAAAGGAGATGTTCAACGTAAATTTCTATCGTGTGTTTTATGGTGAGGTGCAACTTAAGTTACAGCAATGAAATACGTGGAACTCCAGTGATATGATCTGCATTCCACTCATGTTAATGAGGAAACTCCTTGAAGCAAAATACAAAAAAGCCTTGTCTTTGTTGAGATGTGCAAGAGTCCTCAGGGGATTGGCTGAATGTAGACATAGCTATATGTATGAAATTAAACTCTTAGACCATTGAAAATGCTGATTAGTTTTAAGTTGCAGCACACTCCCAATTTCAAAAACAATATCTGTCTGTGTCTCTGTCTTTGAAGTGCCAGCAACTTACATTTACCCATTCGATCAGTCATTGGAGGCAGGGAATCCTTCTACTCAGCTCCTGTTAACTCTGCAAGCTAAAGCCCTAATGGGTAGGATGTTCCTAGCTGGACAAGCAGCGGGAACGTTTGCCAGACAGCGATATAATTTCCCCATTCGTATCTTCAGAACAGAAACAGCTCTTGTATGCAGTGAGCATGATTAAGTGTGCAATACCAATGGACTTCTCCCTCTATACTATATTGTTAGTTAACTGCAGCAACTTTCAACATTCGATGGGATCACAGCGTCAGAATGCTACATTACACTTTCAGAAACTCCAGCTTTAAGTGAACGTAATCATTCTGTTTCTGGAATTACGTTTAGCAAACTTTCACCCCTCCCCCCCACTTTCAACATGACAGCACTCACTGTAAGAGACCAACAACCCATTTGGACGCAGCAAGAGTTAACATTTCGCACTGCTTTGTGAAGTACTGTAATTTTTGATCGGATGGTGAATCTATCAAGAGTGCTATCCCGTGTTCTGCTGACACCTTTTTTTTCTCACGACTTCCCCAATAAGGCGAAAATTGTGCATCGCGTAGCAAAAATGCCTCTCGGTTGAAATATTGTGATGGACAAGATTCTGCCTATGCTCGAAGATATCAGTGAGCAGCTCCAGGCAGACTTGGCAAAAGTTGTTGCTTTCTCACGTTGCCTTCACAAACCTACCCCGAGGCAACTCACACAAGATCAGCAATTAAGTGTTTGTCAAGCTGTGCAGCAAGGATCGAAGAATTATTGAAATACTTAACTTCAACGGAGAAACACAAAGTGTAGGCAATACGGAGACATTTATGACCACCAGAAGTCATCTCCGAGTCTTGGGATGGTCAGGCAACATTGCCTTCTGGTTATGTGTAGTATCTTCTTCCTGAAGCGCTCCAGGTGCACGACTCGCTTTAACAGCAGAGTCTCCTGACAGAGGAGGGAGCCAGGCATTGGGATCTGCACCTGGAGCAGGAGAGCACTGTCTAATTTGCAATGTTCCCAACACATCTCCTGAGCTAATTGCAGCTTCCAACTTTCTATTCCTGTTGCAATTTTCCCTCTGATTTATACCCAGCAGCTCCAGGAGCTGGTTTCAATACTATAGAACTATTATTTTCTCAAAACTCGTGCTGTAAAGATAATCAGGTTTGTCCACCAGAGGTTACATTTAGGAGCACATGTGTTTGTGTATTGACTTCTGCACTGCTCAGCTCCCAGCTCTGACTGACAAGGGCTTGAGGGTGAAAAGTAATGGTTCATGTGGCTGTGACTTCAAGGTTGTTAAAGGCACCAAACCTTTCCAGACACATGTTAACATTCCTCACTGTTCGCCTCTACAAACCAGTTATATTCTTGTTGGATCACTGTGACGAGAACAGTTGATAAACAGTACAAGGTGCTCGTCATGTGCATGAGTTGCGTTACAGATCGAAGGACACAATTAATGGTATTTTCATTGGATATCAAATCCCATAACAA